TGGGGCTCTGCTTCCCAGAAGATGGACAAATGTGAAAGAAAGGATTTCTATGAAAAAATGTCTGTGACAGCTCCAGAGCTTCCCTTGGCTGGAACTGCCCCAGAAGGGCCCAGCTGCCCTGCACCACCCATCCCTGAGAGGTGACACAGCCCAAAGCCAGGCTGTGCCCACCCCTGGGCTCCAGGGAAGTTTCCCACATCCCTCTGGGCTGACTCCCAGCTGTTTGTCCATCCCAGCCGCATCCCTTGCAGGCCATCCAGGAAACAGCCAAGCAGCCACTGGGGGCTGCAGCACTTGGCAAAGGGCTGGGGGCAGCTGCTGCCCCAAAAGGATGCACAAAAAAAGGGATTTTGGGCCATGGGCACTGCTGGGGTAGCTGTGGTTTTTAACCCCCAGCCTGTTCAGCTCTGGGCAGAGTGGGAAATGCCTGGGATCTTTCAGATGAGGAGAATTCCATAAATGAGCCATCACCTCACAATCTGCCAATTCCTCACCTGACACCCACTCCTGTTTTCCAGAAGGAGCACATTACCCTTGTGCAGCAACCTGTCCCATTTCCTAGGACTGAACTGCTCTCCTCTGAAACTCCTTGTTTTTAAATGAAGCTCATGATTAAAGTGTGCACCCCACAGAATGGTACCAGAAATCACCCAATGTATTAAAATAAATTGAAGTAGAAGGTTGTGCTTGTATCCTTGTCCAAATTTTCTCTCTTTATTTGCTGTATCATACTTCTCCAGCATTCAAATACCCCCACAGGGCTCTGGAATGAGTGTGCAGAGGCAAAGGAAGGATCTGTGTCTCTGGGCTAAGCTGGAACATGCACATCTCTACTCATGCAGATTTTATGCTGCACTTATCTCCAGCAGAGCTGTAAGAAGCAGAGCCAGGGCTGCTGGAAGCAGCAGCTTTGGGAATGTTAATTACTGAGCAAGAGGCAAATGAAGTGCAATTAAAACCCCATCAGCCCTGGGACACTGGCAGGGGCTCTGGGGAGGAGGCTGCAACCCAAGGTCACCAGTGCAGCACTGGGAGCACCCAGAGGCAGCACAGGAGCTGCTCTGTCCTGGGGCTTTGGTTTAGTTTGGGCTGGAAGGGACCTCCAAGCTCATCCAGCTCCAAGCCCTGCTAAGGTGGGACCTTCCACCATCCCAGGGCACTCCAAGCCCTGTCCAGCCTGGCCTTGGACATTTCCAGGATGGGAATTCAGGGCCCCTCTGGGTTTCTACGCTGAGGGGTTCAATTCTGCACAGCTCCAGGCCTGCTTTGAGCAAAGCCAGGGTAGGGTTTCTCTGGGGTTTCACACAAGTCAGATTTCAGAGTTTGAGGGGAAAACACGAGAGCTGGGTTCCAAACCCCACAATCAGAGAAACTGCTGCCATCACTTGTACCTTTGATCAGTCGATACCACTGTTTGCAGACAAGGGCAGCGGTTTTGTGCTCCTGGTAGGGAGAGAGGAAGGACAGGATGTATTCCAAAACCTCTTCTGGCAGCTCCAGCATCGATCTGGAGCTGGGCCTGGGCTCCTCCACCTCCAGCTCAGCGTGGGGCTCTTCCTCCTGCTCCATCGTCCCTTCCACGGCGGCCTCCTCTGCATCCACGGCCATGAACCCGTCATCGTCACTGTCCGAGGAGCTGGCCATGGCATCCCCTGTCACAGCTGCCAAAAGGGACAACAGGGAGTCACAGGGAGCACCAGNGAAAGCCACCCCAGCCAGGCTGGCAGTCTAACTGAAGGATTGCTCTCAGGGACACACACCTGAAAAAAAGGAAAGAAATCCATGGGATGGCAGAAACCTGTTGGGGAAGATGAAACAGGAAAGCCTTATCAATATGATTGCCTGGCAAAAGATTTTGAGAATACAGAAACTGTAAGTGAGATTGAAATGAAAGCAAGCTTTGAGATCCCTCAGTTACTGAACAACTAGAAAACAATGGCATGGCCAGCTGAAGGTGATCCCCTTTTGATGGAACAACAACCTCTGCTTGCAGACAGGCCCAAGGCTCAGAGCAGACCCTGCAGCTTGGCAGAAGGAGCCCAAAGAGGAGTTTTTAGGGTTTAAAATGTAACACAGTGTGGTGATGTAATGATTCTTATAGGCTGTATGGAAATGCTGTAGGATTTGTGTCTTGTACTAGATTGGTTAGTGAAAATCAGAATATTCAGCACAGAAGAAGATTTATTGTATTGTAATGGGAACCTCGCTCTCTTAGCTCTTGCCTTTTACTCTCTTATCCCTTTTACTCTCTTTCCCTCTCTTCTCCCAGCCCTGCTCCAGCTGTGTTTGGCAGCTCCCAGCAGGGCCCTGCACTTGGCCCTTTGCAATGAACCCCAAGATCCCGACCTGGCTGCAGAGATCTCTCGTGTCCGTCTGTCCCCACCGTCCTACCCCTGATGCTCCTACAGGGAACAAGCTGTGCCTGCACAGTGACAGCAGCTGCAAAGCCC